ACATGTAATTCTCATGATCCGTTACAGCAAGAAGGTTTCTGTGTCTTTACCACCCATGTCTCTCTCTCTATCTATCTCTCTCTCTGTATCTCTCTCTCTCTCTCTCTCTCTCTCTCTCTCTCTCTCTCTATATATATATATATATATCTAATTCCTTTCTCTCCCCCTCTCTATCTCCCGTTCCCCACTATGTCCCTCTCTCCCGTTTATGTCATATATTTCCCGCTATCCCAGTCAGTGCCCTCGTACCCTCTTAAAAGAGTGTAACAAACCCATCACTTTAATTTATTTTTTCATCTAATTTTCCCTCCGATTACCACTAACTTTGAAATTTTTGATGAAACTCTCAATGATAGCCCAAACTCACCAATTAGATTTTGAAGACACGTTTTATTAAAAGACAAAAAGCAACTTTTTCATATACATGCAACTAAAGATGTCTATAACCAATGAAATCTGTCATGATGACTTTACAACACAATTATACATCTTCAACTGCAATCTTTTTCTTCAATTTAGAAATGTCAAACTGATTATTGTCTTATAAAATATTCTAAAAAATTAACTTTAAGGCATACATTTACACATTGCCTTTTATTTTTTTTATTTCCTTGAAAACTTTCTATGGATTTCCATGGTTTCCAGCAGTACTCGCAATAGCGTACCAAAGTGCTAAAGTCATATTTGCTCGTCGTTTAAAGTTTATACTGGTTCTACACAAAAGTCAGAGCCTGCGTATGAGGTTCACCGTGAAATCATTCAGGCTTCCTGCTGGAGCAGGGAACATTCAGTGATTGGGGCTGGTGTAATCACGACACCGTTGTTGAGCACAACATTGTTTGGAACTAGTAACCTTGATAACTCAGCCATTGTAACTTTATACTTTGATACTACATGCATATGCTGCAACTTTTTTCATGATTGTGTAATATGAATGGTCTCCTGTTAGATAACTATTAAAACTGTGTAGTTTATTTCTTCGAATAGCATTTTAATTAATATTCATCTGCTACACACCAAAGATAACAAACAAAGAAAAAAAATGAGATAAACTCGTGCAACAATACACATGATATTGTGCATACCATAGAATAAAAGAAATAGCCTTTTACCGTAACAAAAACACATGACAAGAAAAAACAGAAAACACGATAATATTTCAACTGGCAAAGGAGATTAGTGATTGCGAGTAGTTGTATGTGGAATGGGATACTATGTTACGCATTGATTCTTCCTATTTAGAATTGATGATTTGAAGAAGAAAAAACAGCTACAACATGTGTGTATAATATAATTTCTTCCATCAGCTTAAACAACAAAGATAAACATATTTCATTTAATAATTAACATTCAACAAAGTCAAATCCTACAAATACTGTGCATTGTGCTGCTATGTACATTTCATGAGCGTACTTGTAATTTAATTTTGTTATTGATACATTTTGATAACATACCATCGCTATTCAATACATTGTAAGCCATCGTCATCATCATTATTATTATCATCATCCTCATGACCTTGCAACATGGTTATATTAATTGTTGCAATACTTTTTTGATACATACATGCATTTATCAACGTGTTTCAAATCAAGTACAGCTTTCATGTATTTCGTTCCTACTATCTGTTCTATCAAACTATATTTCAAATATTTATAACTCCGATAGCAAAGCTATCAAATCAACAGTGTTGAATCTGAAAGTTACTGGGTATTATGCAGGTATTTACATATCATGAGCATACCCAAAATGTAAATGTTTTCTTTATACATGTAGATAACATGCCCTCGCTATATAATACATTGTAATCCATCACCATCATCATCATCATCATCATCATCATCTTGCTCATGACCTTGCAGCATTGTTCTTTTATTTGATGTAACGAATATACTTGTTTTATACATACACAATTGTTTTTCAAGTATCCAAAAACAAAATCATCAATTTAAATGGTACATGTAATCAGTTTATTATGCATGTGCTGATTGTGAGCGATGACAAACTGTGCAGGTTACATTCATTATATCACATTACTATCTGTTCTATCAAACTACATATCAAAGACTGATATTTTGTCCAGAGCAACATTATGAAATCAACAGTGTTAAATCTTACAAATGCAAGGTATTTTGTAGCTATGTACAAATCATGAGCTTACTCGTAATATGAATTAAATGATACATTTTCCAACATGTTTATTCATTATATACTTGTTGGATACATATATATAAACATGTCACAAACCAAAACGCAAAATCAACAAATTCTATGTTGCAAAGAGTTGATATTAAGCAGCTATGTACAGGTTGTGATTGTGTGGGATGACAAAACTGTGTCACTTCTTTAATTTTTTTAGTATATCTTCTATCAGACTAGATAAGGAGACTACTTATTGTTCTATCAAAGATACCGGTTGGATGTATATGTATGTATATATATATATATATATCCAACCGGTAGAGCAGTGGTCTCGTAATCCGGTGACCCGGGTTCGAAACCAAGTCCATGTGATAATGCCCTTTGGTAAAGGTATTACTCCTCATTACCAGGTCCCTCGGAGATGATCTAAAGCCGTCGGCTGTCTGGTTGCTTTCTTACAAACATTTATGCTTTCTTAGCAGTCAGTTAAAATAACCACCACCACCACAACATTTGAGTTGAGGCTGTATGTCAAAATGCCAATCAACAAATTGAATCATAGCAATTATCAGTCAATCTACATATCAAAAGTTAACATATCTCGTATAAAAACGGAAAAATCAACAGTGTTTAATCTCACAAATACTGGGTATTTTGTAATATGACATATCATGATCATACTTGTAATATAAGTAATTTATTGTTATATAATGAGACTTTGCCCTCTTTAGTTGTTAATATTATTTTTACACAAAAATGAAAAAAAAACTAATAACAATCAACAAGAAAAACCTCCATGTCAAAACAGCTATGGACGTGTTGTGGGTGTGTTAGATAACAATACTGCAACTTATCTCATTATTTAAACATTGCTTTTATCGAACCGCATATACATAACAAAGATAACAATTAAAAAATCAACAAACTGTAATCTTACAAAAACTGGGAATTATGCAGCTTTCATTACAATGCGATGCAATCTAAAGCATATTATTTGTAAGGTTTTTTTTTTAAATAAACTTAAATTTATATGTGACAAAAGGTGTATCATTGAATTTCTTTTGAGTATTAGGATTGGTAAAAGGTGCTTTTGCCTGAAATCCCCCCTCCCCCTCCACGCTATCGTCAAAAAGACGTATATATTTGGTGTACTAATGACTATACAACACATTTGAATACATTTTCTAGCTAAAAAAACGATCAATACATTTCAAACTTTTAAAAGAATATACCCATACATGTACTTATTGAAATGCAGCTATTTACATTTACCTATAAATGAACTTGTATAGTGTTCATGTTGTGTTTTTTTAGCCATAAGGGCAGAACTTAGTACATACTGAGAGTTTACTCCCTTCTGGCTCTAAAAAGATGATATACATGTAGTCTCTTTTACCCGTTGGCTACTGAATTATCTAATTCCATTAGGCTTAACACAGGGACCACCAGGTTCCAGTAAGCAATGGGTTAAAAGGTAATCTGTAATAATATGAAAGATATCTGTCATAATATTAAGTATTATAGTACATGTATTTGAGTGTGGGATATTATCAAGTAATTTTCCCCTTTTACCAATGTTTTTTTACCTCCCCCTAAATTTCCAGGATCGGTTGCATTATTTAGACCCCTTTTTTGACCTCGATCGATTACATGTATGTGCCCCCCCCCCCCCTAAAACATCAAACTCTGGCTACGTGCCCGGTTATACTATTTACGTCCACACACAACACATTCCATGATTCTTTATCGTGTTCTAGTTCGAAACGATGCCCAGACCAGCGTTTTGTGTACACACACATTGTCATCGTATAAATATCCCGAAAATGTATAACTATGCCGTTATACGATAGGTATACGATGAATTTGTTGTGTGTGGACAAAGGGGTTCGTTATTGGATCACAGCTGAGGATATTTCATGTATGATTTAGTCTTTTATGTGAATCTGGTTGTAAAAGACAAAGGTTGTATTAGTAGTTTTGTTTCATGTAAGCTAATTATCATTGGTATATGAATGTTGATATACACATGTAGTCTCTAATTTTGTTGTGCTCACTAATATGAGTATGAGTTATTCATAGTTCCAGACACATTAATTGTTATTTCTATTGTTGATTCATTGTTTATCTTTCTAGTAGGTGCAAACTGTTGCTCTGTTAATAAATTATGTAGTCTTATGTATTAGCAGTCGTAGTTATACGAAAATGAAATCCGGAATATTTATTATGTCATCTTACCAAGTACAATGTATGGAAATTGTTTGTTTTGTTTCATAGAGTTCACATAGTTCCAGAAGAGTGACTGGATAGAACGGCAAGATGTGAGGCTACATCTAACTTACAGTGGTTGTTGTTCTCGTTAAACCATTGTTGGATGAGTTAGTCATAATGTCCGAGTAATATTGATTGTCTTTTAAAGGATTAAACAGCTGGATTCGTCAATTTAAGTGATGCTATTAAACAATTAGTAATACAAAAGTCGTATGTGTATATGGTTGTTTTTAAAACTGTATATACATGTACAAGTTAATTTGTTTTTTAATAAAAAAGGATGTATTTTGTTGAAGGAGTTCGAACAAAAATGATAATGTAGATATATATATAATAATCAATTTTGATTTTATATTGATGATTTTTTTTTTTTTTTTTGTTATTTATTAATTTTTTTTTTTAATTTTATTTATTTATTTATTTATTTATTTTATTTATTTTTTTATTTTTTATTTTTTTATTTTTATTTTATTTTTTTTTTTTTTATTTTTTTTTTTTTGGGGGGGGGGGTATTTGTAGGGGTTTTCTTTTTTGTTCTTGTTGTACCTAATCAAGTAAGATACTCGCCCTACTCCTATTTGTGTAGCTTCATGATGTTCTGCATCCTGGCCAACGCGCCCCCATCCATATGCTAGACTATGACACTATATTTGTTTTATTTTTAATAAATAAATTTATACAATAATTCATTTATTAAAATGAAAATTTGTTATCCTGTATACTTAACACTCATGGCTTATCTAGGTACATGTTGTAACGCATATTTTGAGATTTACCTGTAATTGTTGGGATGTTAGTAAATATATCCATATCATATATTTACGTACGTATGTGTGTATACATAGAGAGGCTAGATGATTGTAATCAAACGAGAACTAATCAAATGAAAATCCGTTTTTAAATACGAGAATGTTTTTCCCGTTGCAAGCAATCATTTTCCCTGATGACGTTATCAACACCTTAGATGATTGAAGGAAATCATAAAGTTGTGGCAGTGGGACCCATTGCCTAAATGGAACGAATGATGCTACCATTTGATTCTCTATGTCACCCCCACTCATCACCCGATTAATCAAACACGTCCTGAACTCTTCTTCATGAAGTAAAGTCACGACGTAGAGTTCGTCTGTCGTAGGATCGACGCAGGCATTATCGACGGAAGGACTGTGGGTGATTGCCGTTTCAGCACCCTGCCTGTCGACAATGAACACTCTGTGATCCAAGCCTGAGGGTTGAGCGATGATGTGCCCTGATGACAGTACATCAGACATAATTATATTCTCTTTACATGTGATGGTATTCATGATCTTACCATCGGCTGGGTTGATGACGTATATATTAGACTGAAACCACTCAGCAGCGATTATCATGCCATCCTGGTCAACAGCTACATTCACCCGTGTTGAATCACCCGTTGTATTTCTTGGTATTGTGACGTCATTTATGTGCTTCCATTGTCTGTCATATACACTAATGCATCCTGTCAAAATGTCCCCTGTACACCCTTTACGGTATTTACCGCATACTACCTTGTCATGATTCAACAACGCACTGGAGATAACACATGATGTACCACTACTCGTAATCACTCTCTGAGTGTGTTTAGTGGTCAGATCTAACATGTATGTATGATCGCTACCAAACATGTCATCTGTGATGATCACATTGCATTCATCTATGTATCCTACAATGATCGGGTGTGTGATGTTATCTTTGCTTTTTATTGTATCAATGTGCTGCCACTGCCTATCATTCCCATCAATCCTCCCATCATACTTTTCTCTCCCAGCACCCTGCACAAACCTCACACCCGATATGGGAACAGTGACTGTTGAAACATGCTCATAATACAGCTGCTTTCTTAGCTCATCACTCACTGATGTGTACACAAGATGCCAGTCTTTGACAACACTTTGATCATCTTCGAGTATTGTGTCAAGTGTGTGCACTGCTGTCTCTGTTGTTTTTATGATATCTTGCAATGAGTTTTCCCACTCACCAATCTTTCTTTCTCTCATTTCATCGATGTTCTTAATGTCTGTTTGAAGACCATTTTGTTTATTGTCGATTTTTTCTCGTCTTCTTTTTGCATTTTTACGGTTAAGTTCAAGTCGCTTCTCTCTATTCTGACCGTTCTTTCGAATCTTGTCGTTAATCTTTTGAATCTCCTCTTGAAGGGTTTGATTCTTCTCCTCAACTTCCTGGTTGATTTTCGCAGCATCCTCCTTTTCTCTCTCTTTGTCTATTTTGATCGCCTCATTTATTACCGAATCGACCTTTTTTGTCAACGCTTGTAGATGGGTGTTGGTGTCTTCCTTACACTGACGTATCTCATCTCCATGAAGTCGACAAAGCTCTAATTTTTTCTTTGCCTTCTCTTTCAAATCATTTAGGCTTGCTTTATTTTCCATGATGGCGCCCTCTATATCCCGACGCACGCAAGGCTGCTGATGATCGATCATTGCGCATGAATAACACAGAGCTACGTCATGTGTTTTACAATATAATTTGATCGCTTCATCATGCTTCCTACAATAAAGATTGGACCCACCCTTTCTTGCTTTTCCGATGCATCCCTCTTTGGAAGCGCAGTCATCGCAAAGCTTCTTCTTCTCCTTCACGTAGTACGTCACATTAGTGATTGCCTCACAGTTCTCTCCTGCACAGATGTCTCCTGCAGAGCTAAAGTTCGCCGCCATCCTGATCAGAGTATGCACCTGTAGAAAGATCTGTTCTCAAGAGAGGGAGAGAGAGAGAGAGAGAGAGAAGATAAAGTGGAGAGAGAGGGAGAGAAAGAGAGAGGTGTAGGAGATTTAGGGGAAGGATGGATAGGGAAGGGATAGAGAGGGGAAATTTATAAAGAGAGAAATAGAAACGAACGGGGAGACCGAGTGAGAGGAAGAGAATATAAGAGATGTAACAATAACCTTCATTAGTAAAATTAAATAAAACTAGATTTGAATTCGTCAGTTTGACGAATAAGGTGGTCTGTCTTCAATCTCATGATAGATTTGACTATTTACTTTATAGAGGAAGGGAGAAGTTATGTAGACATGTACATGTAAACAATTATGATCATTTTGATGATAATGATGATGAACATGATAATGTTTATGAGGATAATGATGATCATGATCATCAAGATAATGTTGATGATGATGATCATCATCATAATGATGATCATGATCATGATCATGATCCTGACATCTGATTGAAAAAAATGAGGAAAAATTTAGATAACATATAGTTTCAGTTACAACATACTCAAAAATCAACATAAACCAAGCTGAAATAATGGCGATGTTGCTCGCAAAAGACAGGAATGTAGAATCCAGATTTGAGAAAAAGTCATCTCTCATAGGGAATACACGCAAAAGGTAATGGATCAAGTGATAATAGGGTAATAATAAAGTAAAATGGTTGTACATTACATTATTTGCGATTATACATGTTTTAATATTTAAAGGAGACGGTACTAGGCCAAGAGCATTAGGTCAAAATAGGCTTAAACCTGGACATTTTCCAAAACATGCTGATTTTTTCAGGATAGCTCCGGGAATATGTTTAGAATAACATACTAAAAGTCTTTATGAATCCTCTTTGAGCGTTTTCCGCAATCCAAGATGGCGTCCAAAAAGGCCGCCATTTCCTGAATTTCGTATAGCTTTGCAACTAGATAACCCAAATACAAAATTTAAATGTCTAAATATATGTTTTTTAGCATAAGGAACTCATTAAAAAACATGTTGATAAATTTGGAAACACACAAGTAGCTTTAAACCACTTTATCCCATCCCGAAATCCAAAATGGCGCCCAAAATTGCCGCCATTTCCTGTATTTCTTATAACTGTGCAACTAGATAACCAAATACCAAATTTGAATGTCTAAATATATGTTTATCAGCATAAGGAACTCAACCAAATACTTATTAAAATATTTTAAAACACACAAGTAGCAGTAAAACCACTTGAGCCCTTCCCAAAATCTAAAATGGCACTCCAAATGGCTACCATTTCCAATTTTATCTCATTGTATTAAAAGTAGATAAGTTATGAATGCAATCAAATGTCTATACTAGAAAAGCACCATTGAAATACATATCAGTACAAATAAACCTTTCATTAAATAACTAAATACTTCTTATACATAACGTATACACACCCACCCACATACACACACATGCACACATATGGCTGCTTCCATCATCCTTAACGACATGAGACTTACAGTGTGCAACCGTGAAGAGTACTCAACGTCAGATGCCCGGGTTAGATGGAACTGGAAAATGGAGACACATTAGTACCAATGTTGCAAAGGCAAAAGTCACACGGTTTCAAACAGGAAATGCACCTCAATAGCACATGCCATATCATCTTTGCTAGTAGACTAGGTCATTTCTGTCGCCAATATTGTTGGAATAGCTGTGTATAAACACCGGAAGTGTGGCTCACGTGAACAGACAGACATCGTGAGCAACATGAGCTTGGTCCTTCATGGAGTGGTTTCATGAAAGTGACCATCACTATGAACATGTCAACAAACAAAGCGGACAAAATATACAGTTCCTCAGGTAGACAAAAGAACATCCCTTCACTGCTATTATGTAAAAATGTGTAGAACAGGTGTCACATGCATATTCACTTTTTACATAATAGCAGTGAAGGGATGTTCTTTTGTCTACCTGAGGAACTGTATAATTTGTCCGCTTTCTTTGTTGACATGTTCATAGTGCATGCAGAGTGACTTGTACGAGAATTGAAACTCTGCCCTTCATAAATGTAGACCCCTCCTATCCGAGTACCATCTACACGGCACTATACTTTGCACATTCACAATGTGAAAAACATAACTTAAGAATATGTGCAGTAACATTTGACCAGCCCTCGTACATCAAGGCAGCAGAGATTGTAGCTTCTTCTCAAGACCTAGAAAAATTAATCGTCCGTCTTGGTGGATTTCACCTCCTCATGTCATATCTCGGCAGCATATAGTCCACGTCATGGGCGGAAGTGTGCTTGCAGAGCTATGGGAGACAGTGTACGCCAAAGGGTCTGTCATACATATGCAATCTGGTCATGCATTTCCCCTTCTCTTCGTGTTCACATACTTACTTCAGCTGCCCTCATTGGCGTGTTGATGGGTAAACCTGTCATCTTAGACAGCATAGATAAGGACCACTTAGCAAATATGTATGGTGCACTCTTCAATCAGGACACGAAGGTGACTGATGTACTTGAGAAGGATTGTGTCAAACAGTTAAAGTCAGATCATTTCACACTTCATTGACCGGGCAGCAGGACAAAGTAGGATAGGGTAACTTTGGTTGCAGTATATCCGACAATTATGTGTCTCTTCTGCAATGTTTCATTTCAGCTGAAAGGACAGGGGACTGGAAGCTCCATCTCAGCTGTGTGAGGGAGATGATACAACATTTCCATGCTGCAGGACATCTTCCCTATGTCAAATCTGCTAGGTTGTATTTACAACAGATGGAAGCTCTAAGGTAAACCATGCCAGGAAATGAATATACACAAGTCGCAGAAAAGGGATAATTCACCATCCGCCATATGGACTCATTCTGTGGTGGAAACTTCTCTGATCAGACCATTGAAAAGTTCCTGATGCAGCAGCTGAAAACATCTAGAGAAATGACTCGTGGACGTGGAATCACAGACAGTACATTGGCTAAGTGGGTTCATGCACTTCCTCGCTGTGTTCCTACCTGTGATGAACTGGAACAGTTCACCGGTACATCTGGTACATCAGAGCAGCATAAAGACATACAGCAAAGTACCAGGTCAAGAGACAATAAAGATAGATGTATCTTTGTCTGATGGTTGCAGGCACATCACCATTTGCTGGATTTGAAACTAACTGCCTGGTCTCCTTGTCAACTGGCATCGTCTCTGGCTTATCTGTTAATTGTGATTACCCTTTACAAATCGGCCTAGTAGCGGCATCCGAAACGAATGCATAGTAGGAAGTTTACAGATATCAAGCTACGTACATCGTAAGAACAAGGTGAAGACCATTGGTGCTAAGAGTAAGAGAGTGAAAATCAGGGAACAAAGCACATAAATCAACCCAACGCTACTGTTCAACAGAATCACATGTGTCCTGAATAACAACACTGAGATGGAATCGTTCTTTGCACCCAGGCACGTTCCCTTTCAAATGTGGGGTGATGCGTAAGCCAACAAAGAGTTCTCTGGGTCTCCTGCTGAATTCGTTCACCAAGCAATCCAACCTGCCAGAAATGGTCTCTTTGTTTAAGATGGTGGTCGCTTGCGGCAATCAGTTGTTTGGCCACAACTGTCAACCTATGCTGAATTTGTTCAGTCATATATTCCATACACCCTTAAGCATTATGGAGCTCATTTGACGGTAGTGTTTGATGGATATGGAAGTGCAACTACGACAAAGGATAGCTGAGCAGAGACGAATAGCCCAGAATGTACCTCTTTATTTGATGATGATATGCCAACACGCACAACCCAATACAGCTTTCCTAGCCAACACCAACAATAAGATGAGACTTATACAAACTCTACGTGACAAAATACGTACCAAGCAGGCAGAAGTGGATGCCACTACCCTGATTGTCTCCACAGCACAATCAGTAGAAGAGTCAGAACAGGTGCCAGTTGTTGTCATTGGTATGGGCACAGACTTACTGGTCATGCTAGTTGCTCGGGCAACCACTTCCACAGATATGCACATGCTATGCCGCAGTAATCCTGTCACGATTTTCAACATTCATGAAATTCAGCATGCCATAGGGGACACTAGAAATCGCCTGATGTTTCTTTATGCTGTGACAGGGTGTAACACGGTCTGGGCAATCTACCGTCAGGGCAATCGTAAACTTTCAATATGGTCCACAAGAAACTTGGCTATGTTTTGCTTGATACATTCGCAGTGGAAGCACCCATGACGAGGTAAAAAAAAAGAGCAGGGGAAGCCTTTATGGGGCCATCAGTTTTGAATATCTTGATGACTATACCGTCACACTGCATACAAACGGGCAATTGGTCGCAGTTCTCTGAGTTCATCCTTTCAGTTAGAAAGTCTACCTCCAACTAGTGCTGCAGCAAAGCAACATCCATACCCACCAATCTACAGTCATTATGTATAAAACGCTTTAGCGACCTTGGTACTTATGTGTCTCCATTTTCAGTTCCATCTAATGTTGAGTACTCTTCACGGTTGCACACTGTCAGTCTGGTATCGTTGAGGATGATGGAAGCAGCCATATGTGTATGTGGGTGGGTGTGTATGTGGGTAATTTATGCATAAGTATTTTTTAATGAAAAGTTTGTTGTACTGATATGTATTTCAATGGTGCTTTTTTAGTATAGACATTTGATTATATTCATAACGTATATACTTTAGTACAATAAGTTAAAATTGGAAATAATGGCCATTTTGGGTGCCATTTTGGATTTCGGGAAGGGCTCAAGTGATTTTTATGCTACTTGTGTGTTTTAAAATTTGTTAATAAATATTTTATTGAGTTCCTCATGCCTAATAACATATATTTAGACAATTAAATTTGGTATTTGGGTTATCTAGTTGCACAGTTATAAGAAATACGGGAAATGGCGGGGAATTTTGGCCGCCATTTTGGATTTTGAGCTGGTTTATAGCTACTTGTGTGTTTCAAAATGTATCAACATGTATTTTAATGAGTTCCTTATGCTAAAAAACATATATTTAGACATTTAAATTTTGTATTTGGGTTATCTAGTTGCAAAGCTATAAGAAATTCAGGAAATGGCGGCCATTTTGGACGCCATCTTGGATTGCGGAAAACGCTCAAAGAGGATTCATGAGGACTTTTAGTATGTTAATCTAGACATATTCCTGGACCTATCCTGAAAAAATCAGCTTGTTATGGAAAATGTCCATGTTAAAACTAATGCTCTTGGCCTATACAGTTAAAGATTTTAACAAAAAAAGTGATTTTTTTTATTTTTTTAGAGACGCCCGAACTTGAACCAGGGGTCTCGAGGTCCGAAGTCAAGTGCGTTACCGATATACCAAAACATTTCCCATAGCGATTAAAAGTAAACCGAAAATGGAATTCTCAAATCCCACTTTGCAAGTGGAATAAGAGCATGATCCCGGCATCTGATCGAAAAAATAAAAGGCACATTTGTGATAGCTTACTGTCTCAGCTAAAACACATTCAAAGCTCAGCGTAAACAAAGATAAAAGGACGGAGATATTGCACGCAAAAGATATTGCACGCGAAAGACGGGAATGTAGAATCCAGTTTTGAGAAAAAGTCATGTCCTGTAGAGAATACACGCACAAAGTGAACAATTGAATGGACGCTCATCTGAATATGAATGGTCAACATGGTATCAAATCGTTTAACAAAATATGGGAATTATCATGAAATAAAAAAAAAATGGCGATTACATGTTGTGTAATGGCGTTACGCGCGAAAACGCGCACGCATGTGCGCGTGCGCGATTTTTTTTTTTTTTTAAATGCTCCAAATGGCGTAAAACGTATGCAAACTAAATTTGAGATGATTTTGAGCATTTAAAAATTTGGCGCGCGCACTGACGCGCGGACGTTAGCGCAAGCGCTCGTTTTTTTTTTTACCCGAAATTGACCGGACGGATATTGACCTTGATCATGATAAATATGAATGAGAAATGACTTACCGTTATGAAAATATGATCATAAGTAAATTTTCAGAAAATTTCACAAAATGGCGCCTAGATGACGTCATCATTCAAGGTCAAGGTTGAAAATCTTACCGTGTTTTTTCCATATGCCTATACATATTGAATTTTGCCCCGCTGCGTACAGTCATGATTCAGTGGCTAAGCAATGGCCTCGTTCCTCCTAGGCCCCAGGAACAAAACCGTGTCGATCAGCTATATTAATGCCCTTTTTTGATGCATTAATCATCCTTTCTATCAGTTATGACTTCAGGGCGTCAGTCCCCTAGTTGATTAGCATAGTAGCACACACATGCGTTAGCAGACACGCAAAACAAACACTCGCAAATTATTATTCAACCAAATCTGAGAATGTATACTATTATCTAGATCTATTAGGAATAAATCATTGTCAAAATCATTCCATAAGTTGGGGTAAAAATAATTATCCCATCATTAAGACCAACAGTGTATTACACCATCCTTGTTCACAGCAAAATGACATACACACAATGTACAGCTTACCTACCTTTATTTTCAGTTCCTTGCGATATAAATCTTCGTAGTATAAGGTCAGAAATGAAGTTGATCTTCTTGATGCTCCTTTTTATAATTGATCCTGGTTGAAGGAAAACAAATCATTTTTTAAAGTGGGTATTATAAGGTGCAAATCAAGATGGCGTCTAGTTGTATGCCATCCTACGTCAAACTGATGCTCACTTGCCACTGATTGGCTCACAAATGTATGGGCATTCTTCACACATGGCTTGCATGCGTACAGTGCATGAATATTGCAGTAGAGGGACAAAAGGGTATTTCTCTCCAAAACACACAATCTATGAGCGTTGACAACAGATGCGCTCTGTTGCTCTTTGTGAATAGATTAATATGAGTATGAATCATCGCAGTCTAGCATAGGATGAATGCATTCACACTCATCGTGATGTCAAAGTCCATGGGTGGAATGGGGGAGGGGGGTCAACAGGTCCCATAGGGTGATGCAAATAATCAGCTGTAGTTAGACGAAATTCTTCAGAATTATACATCGGTCACATGACTTTGTATTACCATTCAATCCAATGAAGAAGGCTGGGAAAATATTGAGAGTTTTGTGTATGAACATTTGGCTGAATGGCATGTACCCTAAGTGCATTCCCCCTTTTTCACCGGTGCCCTGTTATTGGCTAGACCCTTTTTACAACAGCTTAACATGTTCGCATTATGAGTATCTATATCTGTCTTCCCCTCATGTATATATTTCTCTCTTTTCCCCTTACTCTTTTTCCTTCTTTACACCATTTCTCCCTGCACTCCCTTTTCTCTATTGTTTCTCTCCTCTCTCGCCCCCATTACTTTCGCAGTTATGCTTCCTCCCACCCTCTCCAACTGACTATTTCTCTCCCTTTCTCTCTTTCTCTCTTTCTCTCTATCTCTTACTCTTTTTTTATCTCGCTTTCCCTCCTTATTTCTCTCTCTCTCCTTCTCTCTATCTTGCTCTCTTTTCATCTATCTCCCATTACCCTGTGTTTAATTTGTTTACGTTTTCACCGTCAATACTCCTGCCCCCCTTTTAGTTTGATATACCTCCCAAGTGTTTTGCTTAAAATTTCTCAGAAAACTCACATTGAGAATTATTTTAATTTTTAAGACATGTTTAAAACAAAAGGGCATTTTTCATAAACAAAGATTTGTATAACCAATGGAAATTGTATGATGGCTTCAAAACATTATAAATATTTGCATCTGCTAAAAGAAAATTTCCCCAATTGATGATATCAAACCGATTAATGTCTTGACGAATATTCCGAATATGAGCTGGCATTGAATACATGAAAAAACGTGCTGTTAATGCCTTGAAGAAAAAAATTGTGCACGAAAATGTCAGTTTAATGTATTCTGGGTAAAGCTTGACATTGCCTTTGCATAATCATCTTCTAGCAAACTGTTTATACATGTCCATGGTTATCAATTGTACTCAGAATAGAGTACAGAATCGCTAACATCATAATCGCTTGTCGTCCAGGTTACTAGTTCAGAGCCTGCGTATGAGACTTAAGCAGGGCTCCCACTTAGCCGAGTTTGAACCTCGAGTTGTGGCGAGCTGGCGCGATCTTATGGCAAGCCGTTTTATTATTAATTGATATCAATAAATCAATTCTTGTTATCAAGAAATAAATTATGTTGTAAAGCAATGGTAATTATTGATATCAAGAATTTGATTTCGTGATATCAGGAATTCGATTTCGTGATATCAAGATTTCAACAACTCGAGGCTCCAACTCGGCTAAGTGGGAGCCCTGCTTTACACTGCAATCATTTAATCAACAGCCTTTCAGCAGTTGGCGCTGGTATGATCACCACACTATTGATGAGCACACAATCGCTTGGAGCTAGTAACCTTGACAACTAAGTCAGTATGACGTCATACGTTTGTACTCTATGCTACAGCTATTTTCAACATGTGTAAAATCAATGGTCTCCTGATAGATAACAAAACTCTGTAATTTATTTCATTGTATAGCATTTGATTTAATTTGTCCACACACAAATTATAACCATCAAACAACAGATACACTCATGCACAAATATAAACTACATTGTACATTCTATAGAATAAAAGAATAATACCCACCCCCCCACAAAAGCAAATTAACACATAAATAACATTTCAACTGTCAAAGGAGATTAGTGATTGCGAGTAGCAGTGTGTGGAATGGGATACCACATAACGCAATGATCTTCATATTGTGAGTGAGGGAGTTCGGAAATAACAACAACTACAACTTATTTTATTGTTATAGCATCTCCACCACCATACACAACAAAGATTAACATATCGCATATAATAATTAACAATAAAGCAATGTCTAATCTTACAAATATTGTGAGTTATGCCGCTATATGTACATTTCTCGAGCATATTTGTAATGGGAATAATTTCTTAATACATGTTGATAGCATACCGGCGCTATACACTTATAACCCATCACCTTCATTATCATTCTCATGACCTTGCATCATTGTTGTTTTATTTGATGTAATGAATATACTTTTTATAATATTACATATTTGTTTTTAATGTTAATATAATCATGTCCCAAAGCCAAATACAATTATACAATTTAAATGTGCAAGTAATAAGTATAATCTACATGTGGTGAATGTGAGCGATGACAACATGTGCAGCTTACATGCACGATATGATTCTACTATCTGTTCTATCAAACTACATATCAAAGATTGATATTTCCCATAGCAACCTAATGACATCAACAGTGTTGAATCTGACAAATGCTGAGTATCATATAGATATGTTTGTTTAATGAGCATACTCGTAATGTGAATTAAATGATAGATTTATAAAACTACTTAATTATCATATTATTCATTATATACATCATCATTTTAAAAACCAAAACATAAAATCAACAAATTGTATAACACGAATACTTAGTACAATGCAGCTATGAACAGGTTGTGAGTGTGTGGGATTATAAAACTTTGTAACTTCTTTCATTATTTTAGCATCTCTTCTATCAAATTAGATGAGTAAACTATGCAACCTATTCACTATATGAAATATACTGGTATCTTTAAAAAAAAGATCAACATGTCATAGAGTCGGATAATAAAATCAACAAATTTAATCATACTAATACTTAATACGCAGTATCTGTTCTATAAAAGATGAACATATCACAAAAGATAATAACGAAATCAACAGAGTTTCATTTTACAAATACTGGGTATATTGTGTTATTAAGATACCATAAGCATACTTGTAATATAAATACTTCCTTGATAGATAATGAAAACTCTCCGTATATATAATTGTAATATTATTCATTCTATCAAATATACTTTTTGGGTACATGAATATATTGAACGTCTCAAAACAAAATTATAAATTAACACACTGAATCTTAGACAAACTAAACAATGTACAGCCATCTACATTGTGTGAGTTTTATTTCAATGTTATTGCATTTGACTCGGGAAAAAAGTTCCATTGAGCGAAATGATAAAATCAATAGTGTTGAATCTTTGCAAATATTGGGTATTATTGTGCTATGTATATTATAATGAGCATAGATTTAATGTTTTTTAATTTGTTATAGATAACGAGACTTTACAAACTATTTATATGGTGTATCGTATTAGTCATTCGATCAAAATGCACTTGTTGAATACATAATATGTACATATGCCTTATCAAATAAAGTCAACAAATTGAATCAAACGTTGCAGAAACTTAGTATTATGCAGCTATGAACAAGTTGTGCGTTAGATTAAACAAAAAACTCTGCAATAGTATAGCATCGCTTTTTATTAAACTACATGCTACATAACAAATAGTCTCACAGAAGGATGACAAAAGCAACAAATGTTTATCTTACAAATACTGGGTATTATGCAGCTATAAACATGTATTGTATTATATTTATGAAACTTCATTAATGTACATCAATATTCTGTTTATGAACATATAAATCACTTTACAATGTAATGTAACTAATGGATATTCTGTTTGGAAACATATATATCATATAAATCAATTTACAATGTAATTTAACAAATCAGTATTATGTTTGTAAACATATAATTATATCATATAAATCAATTTCCAATGCAGTATTTATAGCAAAATATAAGGAAATTATATTCAGCAGAAACACTATTTTTCCTTTTTGTTATAACATGACATAATGCATAGAGTAAATAATATAATGTAATGTAACGTTCTGAGCATATTTGCTATGCGTATTAATGCATCATACATTACAATGCTATGCAATGTTAAGCGTTTATTTTAAAGGGTTTGTTAGAAATATTGAAAAGACAAAAGGGGTATAATTTAATTTGTCCTCAGTAGTTACATTGGTAGAAAGTATTTTTGCCTTCCAACACCCCCCCCCCCTCCCGTCACAATTGTGTATCTTGTTTACTCATGACTATAAATCAAATTTGATTGGATTTCACTATCTGAAAGAAGCGGTCAATCAATTTGAAACTATTAAAATAATATACCTATACATGTACTTGGTGTAAAACAGGTACGTACCTTTATTTATTTATTTATTATTTATTATAGTTTTATTTCAACAGGGTAATCTTATTTCAAGTTCATTTCTGGACCTGATCTCCCACAGAGCAATAAAGCTATACAACAATAAAAACATGAATTCAAAACATACATACGAAGGAAGAAATATACATTGCATATACAATAATTCAACTCTATTTAATATAAATAAGAAAAAGGAAAACAAAGACTTTGCAGAGACTTACAGTTGTGAATATTACAGGGTAATTTATAATAATTTAGCCCCTAAAACCGCTAAGGTTTTCATTTTAAAATTTGTTTTACTTTTTTGAATGAATAATGGACTGTTTAGAGCATAACGAGTAAAATACAGTACCAGTCTTCTTCTAATACATGGATTCAGAAATGGTGGTGATAGGTCGTTGATGATTTTAAAAATCAAGATGCATTTCTGATATTTTTGACTGCCATTAATAAAAATGATAATAGAGAATATTTATGAAGCGCATAATGAATTGAAAGTGTGTCTATGCGCTTGACAATAATAACAATTTGATAACATAACAACAACATTAATACAACAATAAATAACAAATAGATAAGCAAATTACAACAATTATTTATGGGAAAGTTAACCAATGCACCTATAGTTACACCTACATTGTAGGTAACTTATT